TTGTCAGTCAGTGAATCGATATGTCGTTCGGTCAGTTGGTCAGTCGGTCAATTACTGAAATTTCCTATCTTTGCGAGAGCTTTAAATCGACTGACTTTAAATCGACTGACAATCGCCTTCTTTTCAGTAGATTTATTATTTTGTGGATATTCCATTTTACATTCCTAATGTCCAACGTATTTATTAAAACAGCGTAATAATGTTCAAGTTAACACAATCCAGTAATAAAATAAGTATTAGTTTCGCCATAGAATTAACAGGGTCAGTTATGTTAACGTACAAGCCCATACCACGTAATTGTTTTGCCAAAACAAATTTACAGAAATAATACAAAAACACGCTTTGATCGAGAGTGTGGCAGGCATGGGCGTCGATCGGTGGGGGACTCGTCCCCCCACTTTTCAAAGTAGGGGGGGGGGACATCATATTGATTATCACCCCCCTCCCACTTTTCACCAATCTTCTATAATTAAAACCCCACTTTTAAAAGCGAATGGAAATTACGCATGACTCATGAATTTTGTGTGTTCACTTTTCTAAGTGCGGTACGTATTTTCCGGACAAAAACCGAGTAAAAACGCAATTGTTTATACATTTCGTAACCATCTCAGACACCACTAGATCGATTTTATGGGTACAACGGTTATCAGAGGCTAAATTTATTGTGAAAACAATGTACTGAACGTTGTTAAAATTGGAAGCGTGTATACTTATAACTCAAAAGTGCACAATTTCTACTATAAACTATTTATTCCTTTTGTATATTATTATGACCCGTACGTATAGTGTTTAATATTATCTACATACATAGGATTACTGTTTTTCTTAATTTCAAAAAAATTATATAGCCATTATTAAACAATAATTATACAGCCTTTGACACGGATATGTCTATCTATTTCGATTAAATGATACCAAAAGTTTACAAACTCCAGTGTTACGTTGACGCAATCTCGCAATGACGTCATAATAATCAGTGGCGGATTCAAGTGGGGCCGAGCCGACCCTAAATTTTTCAAAATTATGTTTAAAAATGGAAAAAAGAAAGGAAAATTATAATCAGAATTTAGGTCTCAGAGTGCTATTTCCGGCAATCTAGAGGTGCCGTAATCATAAATTTTCTTTCCTCAGCCCCAACCATGGTGGGGCTAAGGTGATCTACTTTCCCAAATTGTGCAAGGCCCTCCCTGTACCCTCTCTAATTTGCTTTCCTGGAGCCGCCACTGATAATGATAAATTAAGTAAATCACCTTTATGTTTGTGAAATCAAAATGCTTACTAATGTTTTGTGTGCTCCCTATTTCCCTAGTCCTGTTCGATAGTAAATTAGACGGTATTATTTCCACTTACAATAGTGTAGTCGCAATATTACTTACACAAAAGGGAAATTCAAAAAGAGGAGAAAAGCAAAAACCTCTTGATTGATTTTAAAAGTACTGTAAGTGCAAAAAGACTAAATTAATGACTGTTTTAAGTTTATCTTATTTGTTTTTCATGGTTCGAATTTTGAATACGTTACAAGCTAATCAGTAGATAATAAATCATTATTTTTATGAATGTTAGTTGGCACGAAATATGCGGGCATAATATTATGACTAAAAGGATAATTTTAAAAACTTTATATGATGAGTATCTTAGTGGCAGATTTAAGGGGCCCAGCCGGCCCACCATCCCTAATTATTTTTTTCCCCCGAAATTTAAAAGTGGAGAAAAATGAAAATTATATTCAAATTCAGTCTGAGACTGCCATTTCCGACCAACTAGAGGTGCCATAATCATAAATTTTCTTACCTCAGCCCCAACCATAGTGGGGCTGAGGTGGTAGTCCAGCTACACTCTCCATCTGTAAAAGTCCCTCTCTGGGTCCAGCTCTATTTCAAATTACTGGATCCGCCACTGGATATTTTGAAATTTCGTGGAAATTAATGTTAATTGCATTGCTTAAAATCAATTAAAAGGGCTATAGGCGCCAGAGCTTTCGGGGGCTTCGCCACCTGGCCCCCAACCAAGACTACGGCCAAAGGCTTTTTTTCATTTCGTCCCCACACTTTCAACCACGGATCGACGCCCTTGGTGGCAGGTCCCAAACGTAAAGATGAACTTTCACTGTCGATAAGCTTTTCTTACATATCGACTAACAAGTTTATAACTAAGGCCAAGGAGGAAAGAATTCTCTTAATTGATGGATATGTAAATAAATAGATACGTAGGTGTGATGAAAAACGTATTTTGATAAACTGTACATTCTCTTTCAATCACCGGACACTTATTGAAATAGCTTCTCGCAAACGATCCTTTACTAGCCTCTTTAACAAAGTTTCCCTTAACATTACATTATGAATAGTGCCGTAATTTTGCCATGACTGCTGACACTCATATAAAATCATATTATTGGTAATATATTCCATTTAGATCTTATTATAAAATAACGTGCCAACTGGATAATGCTATCCATACTTTACTACCGCGTAGCTTTCCTCTACATTTCCAAATGATTGAATGTCACCAAATAGTAATACTCACACATTATAATATTGGTAATACACTGTATTTTATTAAAATTTTATTATAGACTATATAAAATAACGTGCCAAGTGGATAATGCTAAGTTTCAACCTTATCGAGTGACTTTTCTCTGTCCTGACGATTTACTGTTATCAAATATTAATAATATCAAAATAAGCAAATAAAATGTCACACAAATCTATCCTTTTATCAGTCCCCGCCGTCCGTCCAGCAGTAGTACGTCTGTGCCCATATCTAACTATAATAAACATCGCTGTACGTCTATATGTCCGCCGGTTGCGGTGTCTGTCTGAAGAGGTCTATCTGTTAAGTATTAATGAAGCATATGACAGGCATATTATGTTATTATAGGGTCGTGGCATATACACGCATATTGAATGAGAATCGTTCATTTATAGCATGTTATATATCTAATATGTTGATTAACATATCGTGTTATTTCTTATGGTGTCCATTAGCTAATGTAAGGTGCGTTTATTGTGTTAAACCTTCGTGTCTTATTGGGGTCTTGCAGGCATCGAACATGAACACTGTCTATATTGCACAGGGTATGTTTGTTTTGTCAGGCTAAATAATTGTAAATCTGTCTTGCCATAAACATACCATCACAGTCAACATATTGCCAAATATGAATTACCTAGAAATACCCTATGTAATAAATACGGAACCCATCAAATTTATATAGGCCCCTATATTCTCTTATACACATCTAGATGTGTATAAGAGACAGTATATATATAGTGGGTTAAAGGTATGGAAAATACATATGGGGATATATATAATGTAGGCATATATTTTTATTTATTTATTTATAAAAAAATATTGCTGTGGGAAACAATACATTGTTGGAATATGATAAATACATCATATATCCCTATAGCCTTTACAAAAATGATCAAAGCGCTGTACATTGAAACCAATAAAAAACAAAAACAAAAGCACAATAAAAAAAATCTAAAAAATGACATATTACATCATTAACACATTTCCAAAACAATATTGCCAGTTGGCGATAAAATTGCGACAAACAAAACACAGTGTATAAGAAAGATACATAGGCCTATATAATATTCAAATTAGGTTTGCTGCCCAACACGGTAAACACAATATATGCAAATAGATAAATAATAACATCATATCACCTAATAGATTTAGTGTTATTATTTATTTACTGTATTAGTTTAATTTCATTTCATTTATTTATTTGACCAAGATGAATACAAAAAGCAAAAACAGAACAATACACAATCAAGCAACAATAGACATTTCCGCTAAGCCCCGCCCCTTGGATGTTGTTGCTAAGGTCCCACAAGGCGACCTTGGCTATGTTCTCACACGGCTGCTAACGGTTAGCAGGATCCGGATCCTGCTAACCGTTAGCAGCCGTGTGAGAACATAAGCCTGGTTCTCACGAGAGCCCTAGTATCCGGATCGGGAGTTAACCGTTAGCGCTAACCATTAGCACCTGCGTGAGAACGCCCGATCGGTTAGTGCTAACCGTTAGCAGTATCCGGATACCGCTAACGGTTAGCAAGCGCCATCGGTTAGCAAGTTGAGGGCGTTTCTATCATCACGTACGTGTACAATTTCCAGTTTCTTATTGGCCAGTGATTCGATCATCATATTCTTGGTATCCGGATTGGGATTTTCTCGTATGGACGCACGGCAGCTAACGGTTAGCAGGATCCGGATCCTGCTAACCGTTAGCTGCCGTGTGAGAACATGGCTATGGCTAAGTTCTCACACGGCTACTGCTAACGGTTAGCTCCCGATCCGGATACTAGGGCTCTCGTGAGAACCAGGCTAGTGTTAAAACATACGCGAACACGTACATTTGTGGGACACGTGTGTTAGTGAGACGCGCGCGTATTCCTAGCGCTGTTCTGATTAGTCAGTAGATTGACACTCCGGAAAGGTCCATTAGAAGAGTAAGCTGCCACTAATTTACATTAAGATAAAACAATAACAACAAGAACTATAACAATAGTCTCAATTCTAATTATTATAAAATGTTTATATATTCCTATATATTTTTATATATATTCCTATATATTTACAATCATATATTCATATGTATATATTATAAAATATAATAGGCCTAGCTATAATTAAGTACAAAGTGACACCTCCATTATAGAATAAAACTTAGTAGATAGGCCTATTTTAGATTATGTTTAAAAATGGGGCCGGCGTTTAAGAGTACATAAACATAATATTATAGGTCTATGTTCTGTTATATAACCAATAGTTTAATATCACTTACTTGTATAGGCCCTATATATTAATTTTGTTTTATAGCAACAAATCAAAATCACCGTAGAGTAGGCTATATCCTGATCTTACTACTCTATTATGTCCGCCGGTTGCATTTGTTATACCGTAGTACAAGCCTACAGGTGCAAACTCAGGATTCCACAACATGATACAAATAATATTTTGGTTAATGCTAAAATAATATTCATAATTCTTCTTACCGTAACGAAGACTCCTAAATCCAAAGACAGATTGATTACAAACATACCCTATTCCCACGGACGGCTGCTGGCAAACTAATAAACTAGATTGTGTATACGCCTCGATCTGCAGAACGAGTCCCACCTACAAACGAAAGTGCGTCCCGCTCGCTAATCATTTTATAGCAAACGGACGTAAATTAGAACATGCTAAAAAATGATCACCAACCACGTTTTCACTGGCTGCAAATAGATCATGCAAGCCATCTCGGTGTCGAATATCTCGTATTTGAACGCGTGACGATCAAGTATTGTATAATTTACTCTATTAAAGTTTGCTGTTTATATGGTCACCATGTTCAAAAGGTCTTTTTCATTTTTTAAGGACAATACTCGATTCATATAAGTTCATTTGGTAATTTGATTGGTCGTTTATGCATTAAAGTCACAGTCCCGCGTGATCACGCGTAACTACGTTACAGTTTTTTATTAGCCCGTATTCATGCTTGTTGAAAAACATGCTGAGCACTGTATAGTTTTATTAGGTGTGATACAATACTAATCTAAACAAAAAACAAAAAACAAAAAAAACAAAACAAAACAAAACAAAACCCACCGACCTAACATTTAGACACTTTAGGGTCGGCTTAAAAAATGTACATGTATAATATAAGGAACTCTTTAAGTTTGAGAATTCTAGGCCTAGTTTGGGCACAACTGCGTCATCTACGACGAATCCACCCCCGCTCTCAGTGAGCTCCTCCTAAAGACGCCACATCGCCTGCTGGTTTTCGCTGGCAGACTGAGAGATTGTCATTAAAAAACGATCCGTTTCGCACTCCTTCTCGCGATGCGTTCATGGTGTCGCGTCGGCCGACCACCGTTGGCGCAGTGTGTGCCCGACTTAAGAGTGCTATTAAAGATCTTAAAAAGGAAATGGTCGGGGAGATTGAAATGTTCGGTTACAAGAAATAGTCCCAAAAAACAGGTTTTCTGTTATTATTCCATTGTGGAATGCACTGCTGGTTTCCCCTGTATACTACACTTTATACTGTAGGCATATACTGCATATATATGTATATACTGTATATAGTCTGTATACTGTGTACTAGTGAATATTTAGTGCATTCATATTCGGTGAGGTAAGTTTGATGGGTTTATCGGTGATGAAAAGTGTTCATATCTGACAGCCGGTTTTGTGTCATGTGTAATTGCCTATGTTATTTGGAAATGGGTTGGTGGGAGATGTTAAAGATCGGGGATTGACTAACAAAAATCAGTAGTTTCTGTCTTGTTGAGTGAAGGATTTTAGTTAGCCCTACTCTGATTTTAGAGTGCCTCTGCCTGCCGTGAAAAACTTAAATAAAAAAATGAATACGGTCTTCGCAAAAAATAACTCATAAGACCTCGCTACAACGGCACGCCGTGAAAACGATTCGTTTTTAATGAGAATCCGCACAAACTGCCGCCGATGGTCAACGGATTGGCGTTGTTTCGAACAAGCGCTAACAGAGAGCGAGGACGAAATAGGATTATTTTAATAAACCGGGCAAACACTAGCCGTACTTCGCTCCCTATGAGCGCTAGACGACGCTACACCGTCTGCTGATTGTCGGAGGCATTTCTGAACAGATCGTCCGATCCGTTGTGCGCGCGTCGTGCCGTTGCATTCTCCATAGAAACGCGTCGACCGACGACCGTCGCGTGCAGTGAGTGCCCGGCTTAAGATACACATAAATCCCACAATCTGAGTTTTTGCGTGCATATACGCGAATGGCTGACACAAATAACCATAAAGGCCCCTACACATATCACTTGTCTCTTGCATTGTGTCGGCCGACGAATCCTGCACGCGACTTTTGGTATGAAAATAATTAGCCAAACAGAAATTTTAATTGGGCAAATCAAAAGAATATAAGCAATAATAGCTTCAATTCCATTAGCTTTTTGGCTAATTTTGAACGAAAATATTTAGCAAAATTCAGCTCTTATAGGATTTGGCTATTTGGCGAATGACAGCTTAAACACTGATAATAATAATAATAATAAATGTATATATAGGCCTATATATATATATATATATATATATATATTATATATATAGCAACGCAACGCATAGCAATGAAAATTCAAATAATCTTTGAAATCTTGTAAGCATCCAAATCCCCACTAAATCGTAATCAAATAATATACTCGGCGAGAAGCTACAGTATGATTTATAAACATAAAATTCATCAACTTACGTGGTATAACTGTCTCGTAAATTTATACTCAGGATCAATTGTTTCATAAAACACTATTAAACGTCAATTCCGAACACCGTAAGGAAAAATAAGTATACACATTACTCGGTGCTTCGAGATATTGATATGATTGCGCCGCTATCTTTCTGCTGATGATGAAGCGTGTTCTACAGACGCACTAACCAAGCCCGCGTTGTGTGACAAAAGGGCCACGTCAGACTATTATTATGACTAGCCACTAAACACGTATGTGGGTCACTAAACATAATTGTCATTTACAGGGTAACGTAATGATTCCACTGTCGATAAACCTGTTAATTGATAAGGGATTGCCGGCCCAAAACTGTCACTCGATATCTTCTATTAAAAATATAATCAATCACGCGTGTCCACGCGTTAACACACGATCCGAGAACACACCCCGTCCGTGATTTCCCCTTCGAACACCGTTAACATCCGAATGATACGATCGTGGCGATATGAGCGTTTATAGAATTGACGTTTTATTGGAATTGACGCTTTGTTGCTACTGGTCATTCGAAACTCAGGTGATGCGGTAAATAATCTGACTCCAGACGGCAGGCCATTCAGTCAGTCATATCGAAGTCAGTCCCGCGTGAGTGAGTCGACTTCGATAAATATACAGGAAAAAATGAAAAATCGTAATGATTTTTTACAAGCTATTTCTCTACTTATGAGTTAGTTGCCAAGCAACCATTTTGTGACACCTCATCTATCAGTGCTTAAACGAAGGTGCAAATCGAGTCACCGAAACATTAAATTTCACGTTAAAAGTCCGAAATTATAGTCGCTGTCTCTTTTGATTCACATATGTATTTTTTTACATCACTATCGTTAATACGGTTATTTATAATGTTCTTTGTGACTTTTGAGTTATCGCTTTGATTTTGTTTTGCGTGTAGGTCTATGCGACTTGGCCTACGAATTAACCGGAAGGTAGGTACTCATAGCGCCCGATTCAGTTCATCGGCGGTGTTTGGTTCAAATCCAATCATCATTTCTTTCCTAACCTATTGTGTTTGTATCTTGAGGACTCGAGGTCAGTGAGATTCGAAGGAAGTGGTAATCATTTGGGTGATTCCTGATAATGTGTTCCTTTTATATAACTGACTTTATTATATCGAAAAAAAAAACACATTCTGTCTGACAAATTTTCGAAATCATTTATATTGCTAATACAATCTCAGAGCCAAAAATCTTCTAAATTAATCACAGATCAATAAAAATTTATATATTCCTATTTTTAGTAAACTTAGTAATTTTAGTCTTAATTCGTTTACATAATTTGTCTCGTGTGGAGGGAGGCATGCTGTCTTCATTAAAGTGGAGCAGTTTTTATGAGGGCAGCATTCTTAATTTTGCACATTTTCCCTGCCGGTTAAATGCAAACATAATTTAAAAGGATATTTTCATAAAAAATTTCTTGTATCAGAAATGATCTACCTATATGAAGTTTGCCTTGATAATGAGAGGCTGTAGGTTTGAATCATACCTGATACACTTTATTTTGCGACAGTACTGAAAAAGGAACTTTTCGTTGAAAAACTATGCTTGATAGTTCCATATTCTATTATCAATGCGAAAGTGAGTAACTCTAACATATACATAGCCTATACAGTAACATACAAATTGGTATTAACCAATCAGAACCGAATAAAATATATAATCAGTTGATTGTTAATGAGTGTTAAAATCGGCAAAATAGAGATGATTGCGGTACCGTAAGCATTATCAGATTATGTATGTAAATATATACAAATGACCTATGCATATACATCTATATACAATATATATACATTAACGAAATGAGGAAGGGGCGCCGCTAGTTACAGCCTGAAAACACCGTTGCACGGCGGAGCCGCAGCCGCTCGCAGGGTAAGGTCGGTGTAACCAATGTGGAACCAAGCCTTTTCGGATAAGGACGTACTTAACATGATAGTGTACACATCTTGTTCGTGTGCACTTTTAAAGAACCCATGCTATGGTTAATTTCTTCCCCTGTCGTTGTGGACAAGCAAGGACCTCTTTACGGCGGCTAGGTAGTCACGGACCACCAGTGGCGTATCTAAAGGAGGGCGCGGGTGGACTAATTCTTGCTTATGTTAACCACATGCTTATCTAATATTATACTGACACTGGTTTCAAATAGTTAGTCAAGGAGTTAAAAATCACCTAAAACCACTTTATTTTGCGAATTAGCGACCCTCAACTGATCATCGAGCCCCCCATCAGCCCCCCCCCCCCATTTCAAGATTTCTAGATACGCCCTGCGGACCACGCACATACGCAATTCGGCACAGTTACGCTGCGAGTTATAGCTCCTACCATGGACCTATTAATAAGGTCCAGGTCCATGCTCCTACCGTACATTTCCTTTAAACATGTTTATATAACGATTCTGAACAGGTAACTCTTTGAAATGCAATATACAGGGTCAACCAGCATCCACGCTGTTTGTTCTTTGTCGGTTATAATCATTATTATGCCCACATGATAGCCTAAATGATGTCTGCTTTACTTACTTATTAAATGTTAAATATCTTAGAACTGTCATCAATTGCATGTTGTGTAATGTCCAATTTTATTATTTTATTCTTTTGTTTTTAGGAATTTCCCAACATTGACAATTTTCAATTGTTATTAGATAATATTCTCTTGATTCTTGCATTCTTTTATAGGTATGTGGAAACGAAATATATCGTTTGTAATCATGCAAATATCATCAATGTGATTTTCACAAGACAGGCTGTCTCATCACTATCTGTTTATCTTACCGTGTAGTCTGCCTCGACTATATAAATGTGTTTACAATAATACGGTAATAGTAATAAGCACATCAGGGCGAAGCAACTAAGTCGATTGATGAGGGGCCTACGAATTTGTCCACAGGCCAATTAAAGAACCAGTAGAACGCGAGGTTGGAAATCATTGAAAATCACTGCTTTCTAATTTACCGGCTTTATAACGACGATCAGACAGTAATAGTCTGTGATTTAACTCTAAATTGAAACGTCACAATCTTGATTGAGACACCTGGGGGCGGCTATCAATTGGATGCAAGTATTCATTAAATCGTGGGAAAATGGTGTCACTTTCTACGGCCTCCGTGGTGCCACGTAGGGAAGGAGTGGTTTTGAACACGAATGAAAACAAGACAAAAATTTTGAGTACGGCGACGACGCGCGCCAAATGAATTCAAGCGTTTTATTGGGCCTCGACATTTCGCCATATACTTGTGTCGCTGGGCTTGTTTTCTTAAATTAAATTAGATTAAGGCTTCTTCTATTTTCACTACTTCAATTTTGTTTTCATGATACTTAGTCACGTTTGTTGCTTGTAAGCCTCAATACACCGCACAGCATTAACCTCCATTAGGCTTGTAATAATGTGAAGCGTTTTTTAAAGGCCTTGTTGGCATTACACGCTATATAAATCTAACATTATCAGGTTAAAGATAATTATGAATAGCGGTCACAGTTATAAATCCCACTTATTTTACCTGAATTAAACTAATAAGCTAATAATTCATTACCTCGCCCAATTTAATTTTTTGACCATATGTTCAATTCATGAACGTTTCTTTTTGAGATTGTTTTATGGGCCTATTTCTTTTATGTATCGAGTTCCTTTTTACAAATTTTAGTGTTACATTTTACAATTTTATATACTTGATTATGTATCTTGTTATCTGTGCAATTTGGGATCGGCCGCTATAGAGGTGCGATTGTTCACCTGTTGGCCTTTTGCTCGTCACTGGAAATTTTTTTATGTCATTGTTATTTTATTGTATAGTTTTATTTGTATATGATTTATATTCTCATTTAATCCTTTATGTTTCATTTATGCCACAAGAGAGCAAATTTCCAAATGTTATTATTTATCCATTTATATATATATATAATATAAAAGTAAATTTGGAATTCAGCAAGTCTGAAATTTATATTTATGTTAAGTGATGATAAAGTGTTTGTCGCTTTTAGTATGGCCTATCTATATTATGGCATTATATTACCGTCGTAATTTAGCGGAGACAAAACAAACATAACATTGCTAAATAAAAACATTTGATTTTGATTTCTGTTCATCTTTTAGTGCTGATATTTGTCCTATGGAGTTTATTTGGATATAGAACAGGATTTTTATCAGAGCTTACAAATCTTACTAAGTTTACATTTGATCTTATTTTATGGCATCAGAAAATAACTGTATATGTTATCAAATACATTTATTTACGTAATGTTTTCAAATACGCTTAATAAATATTTAACAGAAGATATAATCATCTTTCCTTTTGGCAATGTAGTGTCATGATGATATATATATTTTTTTGTGAATGAGCCAGAAGGCCTTCATACGTGATTGTACATAAATGTCAAAGACGCGTGTGTCTAGAACGAAATGAAAAATATATACTCACACGGGGGTCCAATTATAACACTGAAATCACGGTCACTTGCTTGCTGTGCGCGATTCCTTTCTCAATATGACGCACTTAAGTAAACACAAACATTATGGCAGAATTAACTTTAGGGTTGTAAGACGTATTTGTTTTTTATTCATTTCTCACTTCTTTTAAAATTAGGTGATAACTGGAACAATCTATTTCATTTCTGTATTATGTCTAAAAAATAAAGTAGTGATTGAAAACAGAAAATGGTGTACAAAAAGTATATAATAACAAATGAATTTAATGGCGGGGGGATATTATCAGTAGCTTTTAAATAAAACGAGGGGAAAAAAAACGCTATAAAACTATGTACGCCCTAAATCCATTACATTTTATATCTTCCCTATGCAGTATACAGGCATGTTGCTTTAGGTATATTTTTATAGTTACACATTCTCAATTTATTACACGTCATAGGCCTTGGTTTAGTTATGTTCTTTCTGTTGTCCTACTCTGTATATTGTCTCATAAAATTACGTTCGGCTGGATAAACCTTCTTCATACAACATTAAAACGTCTACATTCGGGTGTTAACTAGTATTTATGTATTTGAGTAGTCACATTAATAGCCTTAAGACACTATAAAAGAAAAACAAGACAAAATCAGATGTGCTTTTTTCTGAGAATTTACTTTAAGCCGTTCAATGAATTAGGTACAACATCTGTAAATATTCTGCATGCATACATATTTTTTTTAACCATATTTATAGAGTGTAACCCTTAAGTACCGGCATCATAGATATGAGTGCATGTCCATGATTTTTTTACACGCACAAAATAAAAGGTGACACAATTTAATTGTGTTAGACAAATGCTGTATTTTTTACAACAAAAAGCATGGTAAGGGTGAAGCTGGCACCAAGGGTCTTTAGCTCCAAAGACAAGTTTTTTTTTTCACTGAACTTAGAAAGGTGCACTATAAATACTCAGTGGCAGTACCAGCCAGTCCATACATGCCGTTAAAGGCCTGTTTACACTCTGACGATAACTATCAACGATGAAAAGCTAAAAAAACAATTGTTCATATGGAAAATATACGAAATAAGAGAAGTTTTCACAATAAATCGATTAGATAACGATTTATATGTATACGATAAAAAATATGTTCACAAATCAAATCAAATGACGTCATAATCATGGGAAAACGATAAAATCGTAGTTTTCAAAACGATTCTATCGTTTTCCCATGATTATGACGTCATTTGATTTGTGAAATTATTTTTTTTTATCGTAGACAAAATAAATCGTTGTCGAATCGTGCTAGCGTGAAAACTTCTTTTATTTCTTTTACGAACAATTGCTTCTTAGCTTTTTATCGTTGTCGTCATAGTGTAAACAGGCCTTTACTCCTCATGTCCCTAATTTAAGGCATAATATTACACTTCAAAAACAAGGTGCCCCAGCCATAGCATATGTGTTTATGTTGCTTTAAAGCATATGGATATTATTAAGAAGCTTATGAGTCCATTTTATACAACAAAATACTGCCAGTTCTTGTGGCACATACAGTATATATTTCTGAGCCAAAATGTTGAAAAAATGGATTATATATTTATATCAGATCGCTGATTTATGCAATTGGGTTGGAGAGATTATTTTTTTAATCTTGTAATTTCTTCCTTTTGATTAGTTTGTGTAAAAATTTATACCAGTTTTATGTGTTTCTGGCCTAGAAATTTCTGTTTCTGGTGTGTGCCAGAAATGATGGAAGTATTTCTAAGAGACATAATCATGCCTGCTTACGTATTCAGCTTAGATGAAAGACTGCACTTAAATATGGAAAATATTTGTAATTGCATCCTAATAACTTATGTTATATATCAGTCCAAACTCATTATCCTCATCCCCAATCCATAACAATGATGCCCAGCATATCTTAACCCAGATAATATTTCAATTTGTAGGTTATGCACAGAAATTAGAATATGCTAACAAGCACTACTAAGTATAAAGCAACAGCCTAGAGTAACATATTAAATGGAATTGGAAAAATAAATATTGAAAGAAACAAGCACAGAAGAAGAACATATTACAAAGCTCTTGATGGAATCAAGAATCAAAGCACAAAAAAAAAATGAAAAAAAAAATGAATAAATGAAAATCAGTATACAATAATTATAATTAGCGAAAATGTTCACAAAATATATTAAAATAGAACCCCCTCCTTTGGGACAACTTTTTTGCCACAAAGTGAGCCTAAATACTTCGTTCAAAAGTACCAGTTCCAGTATACGAAACTGCCTAATTAGGAGCCACCTCTATCTATTAATTTTTCATTATACCCGAGCCAATGGACAAATAAAATTTGAATGATTGATTGAAGGTATTCCTTTAATAGGTTTCTACTGTATTAAGGCCTATATTTATTTGATTTTGTTATCATTATATTATTTAACCAGGCTCACAAAAAATTTTTAGGTACATGATTCGTTTAAAAGGTATAAAAATTAGGAGAACGTTGCATATGTATATTTTAACCATTATTTTGTGTAATAACTTAAATTGCTTTTAAAAGACAATGTAGACAAATATTGCATGAAATCGATGCGACTATGATATTACAGTCTCATGTTTTATGTTCCAATAAATTACGCTGCGTTCTCACAGTATTAATGCATGTCTGATGTTTTTAAATTCACTATCTTTAACATACTGCAAAACACACTACTATTTAACCTATTTGATTTGTAGCACAAGAATTTAACCAGCTTTATTTGATTGTGCAAATCATTAAACAACAATTAAATATACACTGAACACACTTTAGCTTCTTCAAATTGCATATCTATCTTAGGAAACATAAGAACTGTCTGTTTAAAATTAATTTATGATAAAATTCAATCAACTTCTTATGATAATATTATGAGGAAACAATATCATATACAAATTAAACCTAGGATTAGGCATGATTACATTTAGAAATTCTGCCCTCTTTATGCGACTGTACTTGAATTAGACTCATGACGCCAGGCTCACTCAAGCTGCCAAGGCATTTCAAAGTAACTACTTGGCAAATCTTTACAGTGCATTGCTTCATAGTCGACTAGGTATTTTCCAGCCTAGAGGTCAAAGAGAAAAACTTGTTACATTGTGTTTGCACCAATATCACATACTATAATCATTACTGAAAATAAGAGTGGTTATAAAACAAGCAAGCCCGTAGGCACGATTTTTAAAGGGGGTTCTAAATTTTCACAAAAGCACTTTGAGTCCTCATTCACCCATCAAATTTTAAAGATATAACACCTCAGATGTCCGGAAATGGCAACAAAATGCCAAATTTCAAATATTTTGAGTTAATTTCAACAACTTCCACACAAATGATACTTTTAAATAATAATTTAAAAGGTTATTTCTGGAAAAGTGGGGGGGGGGGGTGGTTTCATTCGAACCCCTCGAATCCCCCTGGCTACAGGCTTGATGAGTGGTAAATGTGTTAATGATAGTAAAGTATTATCACTGAGGGTAGTGGAATGGTTCCACTTGGATTTAAATTTTGAGTTGTTTCCTCTAAGTTACTTTATCTATGTTATCTCCACTTTCACTCCCCTCAAAAATTATATATGGCCAGAGTATCTGATTGGATGTTTTTGTATTGTTTGGTCTCTTGGCCCACTTTCCTACCAATTAACAGATGCGTATTCTAATAGTGTATATACCATATCTATAAAATAAATGCTTCGCTTTGAATAAACGCCCCGCTCTAGAGCCTCATTTGGAATAAGCGCTTTCCTTGAATAAACCTCCCACCCACAAAAGACTGTAGACAAATCTAACGGAAGCAACATCATTCTGAACACATTCTATTAAAGTTCTACTAAAACAGAATTACATATTCTCTAACCTGGTTGGGATCAATAAGTCTTTATGATCATGCAATAACACATTTTAACAGTAGTTATGTGTGGTGTAGTTCCACATAGTGAAATTAAGGGGTGTTTATATACATATCAATCACGCCTCACTTGAATAAACTCCCCCAACCCCCCTCAAATAAACGCTCCCTCAAAAACTCAAAAATAAATGTCCCGGGCATTTATTAAAAGTAAATATGGTATATTCTTTTTATGTTCCCTTTAATCAGCTGATAATAATCAATTTGAATACTTTCATAGTAGAAAAACTATAAATCAGAAAAAAAACTGAATTAATATTACTTTGTCTTTAACGTATTTGATCCTTTGAACAATCCAACATTTTGATTGAAATTTTAAAATTTCCAATAGTAATTGTGAATATTCATATATTAATAGCATTGTATTAATAATCTCTAAAATGACATAAACTTAATCATACCAGAAAGAGTGTCAGCTGTATTTTAGTGACTTCTCTTAAGTCTTCACCTGAAAAAATGAAGTATGCAGAAAATATGAATCATAAGGTAAAGACAGGAACTGTCTTGGCGCTTACAAATTTTTGCTTCATTCCACATACAGTAATTTAACCAATGGGGAAAAATGATATTATGATAAATAATTGTAGGCAAAAGTAAAGGTAGAAGAATAACAGCAGAAGTCACAGCATCATTGTACTGAATTTCTAAATGTTAAAAACAGTTAAATATTTTATTGATAATATATTGTAGGTAAACTGAACTTAAGATTTCTTACCTATCATCATGGGGTACATTGTTGAATGTTCTACAGCATACCGTTGTAGATCCCTAGTACATGCTGAGTCCTCCACCTCATACTCAGTGAACACATTAACTGAAGGAAGTGATCATAAAACATATATTATTAAGCCTATCAATCAGTAGTCATTAATTAGAGGATCGAGCTATGATTAGAAGAAGTCTAAGAATAACAATAATCTGACTTAATTGGATGTTAGAATCTCTTCAACTCCAACACAGTCAACTCCATAAAGTACAAGTTGAATAACTTTAGTTTTGTAGTCTTTTTTACGATTTCCATGTTTAAATACCGTTTTTAGTGATACTACACATTTCTTGGTCCCCTCACAAGCATATGTCATACGTTAATGTAAATATTTTGTTTATCTGTTTTATGCTTTCCTACCCAGTTTTAAAAATCTTTGTTTAAAACCCTTTTATAATCCCACATTTGAGGTCTCTTGTGCACTGTGTGTTGGGAGAATTGGAATACTATCATGAATAAATATCTACTGTGGCATAACCAGGAAGTTTTTGACGATGCTAGAGCACCCCCCCCACCCCCACACCTTTTGTTAAAACGTGAAAAAAATAATTGTAAATGAACAACCAATTCATGGTGTAGTCATAGCCATCGATATATGCTCTTTCTCTAATTTTGCAAATTGCGTAAAGCTCTGTGGATATATAATATATCTATTCACCACCCCCATTTTCAAATCAAACCTTTTTTGATACTGTCATGCTATAAAGACCAGGTTTTTAACTACTACATAAAAAATGTACTTACGTCTATCAACTATCGATTCAGCACTAAGAAACCGATTTAAAACAGGGAGACTTTCTTCATCTAGAAGGTTTGGATATCTAAATGAAAAAAGTGGACTTTCTTTAATCACTTAGAACACAGATTTTCGGTTGTACCTTTGAAACAAGTAGTTTCCTATGGTCAATACTTGAGCACTTGTATATATAACATTTGTCTCTATGTGCTTTCCAGGCCAACAAAAAAGTACAAAACCAGTATATATGGTTGAAAACAGAAAAGAATAGCATGCATTCGAGCAATTGATTTTTAGCCTTAAAAATGGTGCTAGACAAATATTCACCTTTTTTTCAATATGGTGGGAAAGTTAAAATGTGTCTATTTTTCCTTTTATAAATAAAAATGATCATATTTTTAGTTCTTTTCTAAGAAATTTCTCCAGGAAAATGGATGCAATATAATGATAATAAAAATATTATTATTAGTAGTAGTATTAATTCAGATTATATCAGGATGTTTTAGCATTGTTTTAGTTCAGTGTATAGGATCAGTACTTTTAAAAATGTTTTATTTATTCTGTCTTTATAATGAAATAACACTTTCAGTGTTAAAACATTATACTCTTAAAATATTGGCAAATGCCTTAGTTATGCCTCTTTTTGATTATTGTAATTGTGTCTGGTCAAATTGTAAAACTTTCTCTTTTCAAGTACTTTTAAATAGACTTGGAAGAACTTTACTTTCCGCTGATATAAATACTCCAGTTGTAGATATTTGAAGTTCTTTAGGATGGTGCAAACTTACTGATAAATGGGTAGAACAATTACTTACAATGCTTTTTAAATGTTTAAAGGGCCAAGCTCCATTATACTTATCTCAACATCTTGTTTTCAATGATTGTTTGCACTCGCACTGTACAAGACGTCAAAGCAATAATACTCTAATTGAACACCCATGGAATAATATGCAAGGTAAAAGAATTTTGTTTACAGATCAACTAAATTACGGAATAACCTCCCAGATGATATTAAAATACACTTAGAATCAATGACATTTTTGAATTTTAAAACTTCTATTTCAAATCCTTTATAAGATAACTTACATCATTTTATTATTTCTGCCATGCATATTATTCTCTAATGTAAATTATTGTATTATCAATATTTTAAGAAATTGTTTTAATTTTGTTTCTTCAATTGTTTTCTTTTCTTTGTTAAGATTGAACCACTTTGGAAAGTATTACTTCAGTATAAAGACAAAATAAATTAAAAAAAATTTTTTTTTTAAAAGTACCGATCCTATACACTGAACTAAAACAATGCTAAAACATCCTGATAATCTGTATTAATGCCACTACTAATAATGATATTTTTAGTACATTTTTATTACATATACAATACAGTAGTATGAAATTGACTGAACTACTATCAATTAAATATTTCCACTGTTAACAAAATACAATAGTAAATATTTTTATATAAATAGAACCTACCTGTACTTTAGCAATGCTATAAGCAAATTATTTCCTCTGTTAGACTTTACATTTGGTACTAAACTGTATAAAAAAAAAAAAAACAGAATTACTATAGCAAAAAGATCATAAAAATATTATGTAAATTAAATCTAAAGTAAGAAATTTTTTTCTTAGTAGGATGCATGGCAGTGTCGACTTAGTGGCACCTACCTTGTTGTAATCACCTCGTCATGAGTTCTCCTTATGAGTCTAATTGGACCTGGATACCTAGAATATATAAAAAAATGAAATCATATATCACTACATAGTAATGTAGTGGTCAATAACATATATATAGAGGCAGGAAGCCTGATGGAATTTAGTGGGAGAGTGGGGAGGTAATAAGGGAAAAGAAGTTATATGCTATGACTTGATGACTCATTGATTGTAAATGTTCACACAGCAAGTTTTTCAATCATGGAAAGGCAAAGAGAGGCAGGCGAAAACAATTCCCCCACACCCTTCCCTTTATCTACGCCACTGTCTGTAAATTGACTTGCATTACCATCTTGCATGTAAAAGATGTGAAGTTTATAATTTATAATATCTTTCATATATTAATTCTTGTTTCTACTCTTTCACACACTAAAAAACATTTAAAAAAAATTTAATTTAACATATTCATGATTGTAAACTTCTCACAATTCAGTGTCTTCTATATCACCAAGTAAATAAAGAAATCTAAATTTTAATTTCAAAACTGTCCAAGCCGAATTGATACTCTGAAGAACACTGGTTCAATTTTTTATATCAATATTTAATTACCTCCACTTATTTACATATTCAAATTTATGTAAATTTATTACCTGCATACATTATCAGCCACCTGTAGGTTCATGTATTTTCTTAATGTTCTAACAATGATTCCCTCTGAAACAAACAATCAATTTGCAAATAAATATCTAACATTTTATGATTAGTAGGAAACAAAAATGTTAATATTTATTTAACATTTTGGTCTCTACATTGGAATAAATTAATCAACTTACCTGCTATTTCTGGCATTTTTGCTGTAGCAAGTGGGACAAGGTCATCAAATGTAGCATCTAGAATCTACAAGAATCGGAAGATAAAAATGACAAAAAAAAAATCAAACAATTTAAATTGTACTTCTATCCTCTGGTCTCTCTTAGTTTTCTGAAGACAGGTAAAACAAATTTACTCATATTTTTAAAAAATAATATTGCCCCATTCATGTAATTAAATATTCATATAATAAAAGATTTTTTAATAATGGAATTTGACTATTTGCACAATTAATTTCTGACTTACCAAGGCATGGACTCTTGGATAATTCATTGCAGCTATTGAGGCTGAGTAACCACCAATAGACCAGGCGTACAAGATGATATCCGATAAGTGGAAACCAAGCTCAGTTGTGGCATACTGCATTACAACCTCTATAGCATTGGCCTCATTCTCTGGGAAAGGATAACCCTGGAAAAAATTT